GCACAGTTTTATTGTTTGAATGTTTTTCTTGCAGGAACTAAAAACCAGAGATCAATAGAGATTCCCCCTCCAGCTAACCCTGCTCTGAGCACCACTGATGGATAACAGATGGGTTCACAGAGTGTGTGTGTGTGTGTACGCGATTCTGCTGTGTGTGTGACCGACATTTATACCCGTGATTTCTCTCTTGTATTTTGAAGGCTTTTGTACATGATCCAGTATGGTTGTTTTTGGATGTTTCAGTGCATCTTGGATTGATTTCTTGTGATTTTCCCTGTGTGTGTGTGTATGAGATTTTTCCTTCCGTATCTCCGCTTTGATCTGGAGATATGTTTCTTACGGGAATCTGAAAATGGAGACGTGTTTGGGAGTCATAGATCGTGTTTCGTAGCAACTTGTTTATCCCAATATGGCAAACTAACTGTCTTGTGAAGTGGGAGCCAAAGTGTGTGTGTGTGTGTGTGTGTGTGTGTGTGTGTGTGTGTGTGTGTGTGTGTGTGTGTGTGTGTGTGTGTGTGTGTGTGTGTGTGTGTGTGTGTGTGTGTGTGTGTGTGTTGTTTGCATATTCCCAGTAATTGGCGTGATTGTGTGGTTTCTTATGTATGTGATCGTGTCGTGTGTTTGAAGCTCCTGCAGTGTCTCTGACTCAAAGGGCATTCGCTACAAACCCACACAAAACTGTTTGCACATGTCAGTGTTCATACAGAGATGCAGCACGCAGTCAGGGAGAGTCTTGAATACATCTTGTAAGCTAGGAGTGTGAAAACATCTACCTTCACTGCATTTTTAAGAAACACACTGCATTTCTCCTGCGTCTGTGTGATTAATTTGAAAGCTGCATTTGCTATTGATTTGAAAGTGTGTGTGTGTGTGTGCGTACAGGCGCTGACGGGCCGTGGTTTTAATGTACTGATTTAGATGCAGTGGAAACTCTGCGAGCACAGCATGTCCCACAGATTCCCACAGGACTCACACGCACACACGCACACACACACACACAAACAAAACACGCACGCACACACGCATACACACACACACGCACTCAGCCCCTTCCCCCTTCCCCATATACAGACGGCACCCTTTCCCCTACACACATGGTTAGTTTTATCAGGGTAATGGCTATGCAGTGCGTTCCGTAATGGGTGAAGGGTGTGTGTGTGTGTGGGGGGGGATAAACATGAAACCTTTTCCATCTCTCCGGACGGACGTTGTGATTGGAGGACGGTTCAAAGGTTCAAAGTTTATTAATGGTCACGCGTGCAGGCGGGTGGAGCGGCCTAATAAAAAAACAATCGATGGCGGCATCATGCTGAGATATGAGATGTTTCACGAGGATTTGTCCTGTCGATGTTAATGGGGAAGTGTGTGTTAGACGTCACTGTATGTGTACACACACCATCGGAATGAAAGGGTGTGTGCTTGTGTTGAAGCCAGCACTTTAGTGTTATCTTAGTCAAAGAAAACTAAGTGTTTTAGTCTAAATCAATGAAAACTGTTTTAGTTTTCAGATTGTATTGAACATTTTAGTCTAGCCAAAATATCCACCTTGGTTTTTCTACAAGCCATGTTGTTGATGTTGTAAAGTTTATTAAGTAAAACAACTAATTGGTGCTTTTAATTTAAAAAAAAAAAAACACTATAATTCTTCGTTTCCTTTCTTTTCACAACTAAAGTCAACAGAGAATCTTTGTTCTTATCGAAATTTAAGTATTTTCCGTTGACATTATTGCATGGTGATATAGTCACTTTGTGTGTTTAATGATGTCAGTTTCGTCTCGCCATAATTTCCTCTTAGTCATGGGGAAAAAACCGTGTTAACGAACCTATTCAGTCATCGTTTTCTTGACTCATTGACATTAATAAAGTCTACTGCACAGGCCGCAGCTGTCTGAGTAAATATTAGATTTGGACGTTGGTTTCCTGCCGGGCAAACATGGTCTCATTCACGGCAGAGATGAAATATCTGTGGATCACAAACGAGAAACAGTTTGAAGACACGTGCTGCTGAATAACTGTTAAAAAATATTGTATGTTTGGATTTTTGCTTGAGGTTGACTAGGTCAGGAAGTGATGTATGAAGTAGATCTGAAACCATTACCTAATCTTAACAATCAGCTGGCAGAAAACAGCTGTCATGATAATGGTTTAAAGTCATTTTTCACATTTTCTGGTTTGTGTTTCTGTAGTGGAGGATTTGGTGCTTACGTCATCTTTGCTTGTAGGAGCCAAAATGCTGCGGTAGCCTGTGTTTATTTATTATTATATTATGTTCATTATTTGTTAACACCACACACTTGTAGTTGGTTGTTTCCGGTGATTGCCACATGGTGTGGTTAGTGGTATTTAGGGCACCTGGTGTATGTGGAGGTTTGGTAACATGACTTTAGAGTGCCACAGTGACGAGTCCTAAAACCCGGAAGTAAGTTAGCATTTTACCACTTCCGGTTCCTTCGACAAAAAAGCAATGCAATCTCTCCATAGGAGTTTGGAAACTATCTGGAACTAAGGTCTGTGGTTGAGACACATTGAAGAGACGGATCACGTTTTGTTCTACGACATTAAATACATCAGCAGTGACCCCACTGGTGATTTCTGAAGAGTTTACGTGTCTGAAAAACGATGGTTGTTACCAAGTGGCTGAATAGGACTACAGAAGTTGTCGAGGCAGTTGTACGTCATTACACCGAACACGTAAACACTCCCGCTAAGTTTGTTAGCCCT